TGCAAGGAGGAGGGCTTTTACACAGCTAATGGCGAATCCCCTGCAATCCAAGTCCTCTTCACTTGCTCAAATCTATTCTGCCTCAAAACAAGGAGCAGAAGGAAAAGGCTGCAAACTGTTAAATGGAAAAAACCCCAGGCACAGGGCAAATACCTTAAGTATACCTTTAAAGCAACAGTGTTCTTTCCCTCCCCGCTCAGCTCACAGAAAAGCTCCTTCTCCACACCCCCCATGCGTGCTCCTTGTCCATTGAGTGCTTTTCCTTCCCTCCCCACTTAAAACGTGGTTACAAAGCACGGTTCCACATGGATCCTCAGGATTTTTGCACTGGGTCACCCCAAACTCACCATCAGATCACATGTCTGTGGCCACAGCATGAACCACAAAAATCATACATCTACTGTTTCGTTTAGAATATTTTTTTTCTTGTTTTCCTCCTCTAAAAACTACGTGCGTGTTATGGTCAGGTGCGTGTTATCGAGCGAAAAATACGGTACTTGAAATTTCTCTAGTTATTTTGGGCCATGTGCTTCAGCCTTTTAATTGCTGGTGCTAGTGTTTAGTATGTTATAGCCAAATTGAGCACTTGATTAATATGCAGTAAGAGATTTTCAATATTGCTGCATGATTAAAATGTTGCTGTTTTAACTTGAGTTTCATGATTTAACTTGATTTGAGGTTAATATTTATGAGCCTGTTAAATTGACATACTACTGAGGCTATAAAGACAGATGTATGAGGTAGGGAAGAGCATAGCAGGTTAGATTAATAAATGAACCCAGGTGCTGAATTTTTACTACAGTGGTACCCCGCAAGACGAACGCCTCGCAAGACGGAAAACCCGCTAGACGAAAGGGTTTTCCGTTTTGGAGGCACTTCGCAAAACGAATTTCCCTATGGGCTTGCTTCGCAAGACGAAAGCCCATAGGGAAATCTCCGGGGACCTCTTTTAAATGCTAGCGGTGGGGAGCAAAGCCTTTCTCCCCCTCCGGCCTTCAGAAGAGGTCCAGGAAGGCTGGCGGGGGCCGAAAGGCTTTGCTCCCCACTGCCAGCATTTTAAAAGCAGTCCGGGATAGCAGGGAAGCGCTTCCCGCTATCCCGGACGGCTTTTGAAGGCAGGAGAGGTCCGCGAAGCCTGGGCGCGCTGATCTCAGCGCGCGCAGGCTTCGGCATGCCGGCAACTCTCCGCAAGCAGCGGCAGCGCTGCCGCTGCTTGCGGAGAGGTCCGCGAAGCCTTGGCCGGACAGCTTTTGAAGGCAGGCGGGGGGGAGCAAAGACTTTCGCCCCCACCAGCCTTCAGAAGAGGTCCTGGACCTCTTCTGAAGGAGGGCGGGGGGCAAATGTCTTTGTCCCCCCTGCCTGCCTTCCCGGGAGAGTGGAGAAACGCAGCGCGTTTCTCTGCTCTCCCGGGAGGGCTTTTAAAGGCAGGCAGGGGGGACAAAGACTTTCGCCCCCCCGCCAGCCTTCAGAAGAGGTCCAGGACCTCTTCTGAAGGCTGGCGGGGGGCAAAAGTCTTTGTCCCCCCTGCCTGCCTTCCCAGGGGCTTTTAAATCGCCCCGGACAGCGGAGAAGCCCTCCGCTGTCCCGGGGTTTTTTTAAAATGCTGGGGGTGGGAAGAAAAGCCCTTGTCCCCCCCCCCCCAGCCTTCAGAAGAGGTCGGGGGACAGACTGTCCCCGGACCTGGTCTGAAGTCGGTTTCCCTAGGAACGCATTAATTGATTTTCAATGCATTCCTATGGGAAACCGTGCATCGCAAGACGAAAAACTCGCAAGAAGAAAAAACTTGCGGAACGAATTAATTTCGTCTTGCGAGGCACCACTGTATTAGTTATCCCACTCCCTCCAAGGAAACAAAAGTGGCATAGTGGTACCTTGATACTCAAACAGCTTGGCTCCCAAACTCTGCAAACCTGGAAGTGAGTGTTCCAGTTTGCGAATGTTTTTTGGAAGCTGAACGTCCAATGCGGCTTACGCGGCTTCTGATTGAGTACAGGAAGCTCCTGCAGCCAATTGGCAGCTGTGCCTTGGTTTCCGAATGGTTTCGGGAGTCAAACAGACTCCCGGAATGGATTAAGTTTGAAAACCAAGGTACCACTGTATCATTCTGTTTCCCATTTTTAAACCCCCAAACAATACTGTTAGGTTGTGAGTTATCCAAGGTCCATTGAGCTTTGTGACTAAATATAGATTTGAACCATTGACTCCTAGGCCCTAGGCTAGTACTCTGATTACTGCACCACTCTGGTTATAATGCCTATGTCATCAAAACTGGGAGTAGGGAAATCCCAAGTTGAATAAAAATAAGGGAGCAAAACCTTCCCTGAATAGCCAAGTGCAAGCTGATGCTCAACATCCACAGAATGCTTAGTGCCGGTGTGTGTGTGTGTGTGTGTGTGTGATGAGGACAGAAAGTAATGGGGAAGGGTCATATAATGAAGAAACTTGAAAGACTGCATGGCTGGCAGAAAAGCCACTCCACACAAAACACTTCATTGCATGTTCTACGCCATCATCTAAATTATATAAGTATATGGAACACCAGTTTTCTCTTGCTTTATCTTTTATGTTGTACAGTTACTCTCTGCAGATGACTCTTCCTGTCAGCAGCGAACATCCCAGCTAACCTGCTTTGTGAAATATACACATCTTCAGCAATACATTAGCAGAGGGTAGAACAATCACTGTGTTCTTAAATGTCATGTTATAGAATTACTTCTGCATTAGGAAATGCTGCACTTAGTGTATAATTTGTGGCCTTCTTGTCAGATGGTGGCACACAATACTTGCATCAAAACTCTTTGGGATACTTAATGTATATAATGTATCTTACTTCTAATGTGACAGTTAAATGTTAACTGTCCATGTATTGATACAAAACTTTTTATTGCATATCTTCAATTTTCAAGTAAAATAGAATTGGGGTTCCAAAGCCTGTCAGTTGGTCAAATATGCCTTGATATGGATAGAGCCATTGTGTAAAGCAAGATGAGCGTCGCACCCCATAGTCTCCTTTTACTGGACATAACCGTCCTGGGGTCCTTTACCTTTACCTAGAGCCACTGTGTAAGTGGTTTTAGTTCCATCATTTCAAGACAGCAATGCCTAGAGTTAGAAGCCCTTGCTCCTCAGTTCTTAGGTTGGCCATTTAAGAAACATGGCTTACCTGTGGCAATTTCAGGATTGTAAGGTGCAGGGTGAATAATAATGGCTGTACTTGCACGGCAGTGAATGCAAATGTATTCACTCTATGCCATACATCTACACCCCTTGATAAGACCATGGAAGGGTCTGGCACCATTTTGGAAGGTTCATTCATCAAGTCTGCATACACATACATATACTGTCCCACATAGGCAGTGCATACCAGATCTGGCACTTTAAACATACTAGTAATGTGGCTTAAATGATAAATGCTGTTCATGTTAGCCACTTGCATATTTTTACTAAATTTTGTTTAAAAAAAATCAGGATAATTTCTGAAGCACCCGGACAAAGGCTGGGGTAGAATGGAACTATATACAGTTCTTAATAGGACTTTTCAGTAGACAAATTAGCTATTTGCTTCCAAAGTTGTTGTATAAATCCTTTAAATCATCAGCAGTAGTCTGATCTTTCCATGACTTTCACTTCTGATTTGTAATTATGTCTTAGAATATGTGGGCTGTTTGCATAGGAGTTTTTGTGCTGTAAATTTAGATTGTACTTTACTGTGAAATGTCAAATTATTATTATATTTCTGTTCAATATAACATGCAGTGGTTATTTGTTCTGAGTGGTCCCTTACATTCCCACATATGCCCCTGCCTCAACCCAAGTGTTAGATAAAATATTATTGAAGGTCATGTCACACTCTGGGAGAATTATTTTGTATCCATGAAGTATTTACTCTTAGTAAACTTGAAACTGCTGTCACACCAACAATCACCTTTAAAAGTTCCCCCTCCAAACCAAGTTTCCAATTGAATGACAGTTTGACTTGTGCAGATGTAATGCTACTTATTCTGTGTTGTGTCAACTGCTGTTCAGAATAATAGTGATAAATTTCAATTACTGTTACAGTAAATGCCCTGCTCTTGGGAACATCTGTGGCTTACACTCCTTCCTCTACCTTGGTGCATAAATGCTCCCTCTTGTCTATTTTCTGAGCTTAGCTATAGCTGTGTTAAATCTGAATTGGAACTTTTTGTCATTTGTCTTGTCATCTGACCATAACCTGATTGGTTGAATTTTTTACAAACTAAAAGGTTATAAAAGCCTTCTTCCAAACATTCAGTAAATGTTTCACAGATAGCATAATTGAGACTTGTATAGTACATTTGGATGTAACATACAGCCCATTCCTAAGTATGTCTATTCAGAAGAAAGCGCCATTGAGTGTACCCCACATTTTGTCTTCAGATTTGATGGGGAAACTTCTGAAGTTTCAACCAATGACCTAGGATACAGCCATGTATTGCCTATAAAAGGGGACACTAATCTTTTAAGATGAGAGAGACACATTTTGAATTTTGAAGGGAGTGCTGTGAAGATCAGTCAGAGAATGTTTGCCCTGTGGGGGGGGCACAGCCAGTGGTGGATATCAGGGTCTCCCATTGCAACAGCGCCCTGTGCAACAACAAAATTTGGTGCCCCTCACCTCTTGTGCTTTTTTGTAAATCATAGTTGTGGCAGCCCTGAGGCTCTGTGCCCAGCTGTGAGTGAACCAGTTGCGCCCCCATAATCCACCACTGGCATAACATAACACAAAGTAAGAGAGAATATAGTTATTGCCTCTCCACCCCAAACACAACAACAACCTCATGCTTTCCACCAGAAGTTAACTATGTGGAGATCACACAATATTGATTTCTCTCTTGCGGTTTCTCATCTACCAAGAAATCAGTTACTTCTCTGGATGCAATTGCATTTTTATAACTTATAAATGGATCAGGTATCTTAACAAAACATGTTGCAGCTAAGACAACTCAAATTAAATATGATGGCGGTGTTTTTTCCCCCAGGAAGAACAAAACAGAGGAAAGCCGAACTGGGAACATCTGAATGAAGACCTGCATGTACTAATCACTGTGGAAGATGCTCAAAACAGAGCAGAAATAAAACTGAAGAGGGCTGTAGAAGAAGTAAAAAAATTACTGGTACCTGCAGTAAGTAAATATATTGAAATATTCATGTTTTATGATGTGTTCTTTAAATTGGGAATGAGAATCTTCAGATTAGGTTACATTCTTGTGAGTGTAGTTTCATAGTGGAGTATTTTTTGATGTACTACTAAATGATGTACTACAATGTCATAAAGGATATTAATAGGAATAAATCTATAACTTGTTCAAAAGTCAGATTTCTCCTAATGGAAAAGGATCATTTATAATGCATTCCCATAAATGAAAACTATGGGTCATTTTAGAGATCTTTGACCACAATCTAGAGAAATGTGTGAGGCTGTTGACATAAAAACAAAGCAAACTACTTTTTAAACTTGTGAAACTTAGAAAGTGAATCTTTCAAAAGCACGTTTAGCACATTACAGAGGGTTGTTGTTAAGAGAAGAAATGTCAAAAGTTCAGAAAGCCATAAGAAAACACTTGGGTACACCTAAAGTAACTATCTGGGTTCTATGCAAGATGTGTAATTTAAAAAGTGGGTGGGGCCTAACAAAGTGTTAAGGAAATGTACAACTCCTATCTAACTACAAGTAAACCTCACCAGTTTCTTGATGGTGGCCATAATATTTATTTTGCTGCCACATGTGATGAATCAAGTTTTTATAAAATTGATTTGGTGAGGTATTACTAAATAGGTCTTTACTAATTCTACATATTGCCAACAGGACATAGAAGACTAGGAAATAGAAATAGAAATGTATGAATGAGATCACTTTAAGGTTGCAGGTGTTCAAACTGTTTTTGCTTTGACTTGTTCAGTGTTTCCATGAAAGAATGAGCAGAATTCACTGATTATAAGGGGCAGTGCTAATTTTCCATGGAACAAAAATTCATAATTAACTTCATGGGTATTCAGTTTTGGAGTTGGAGAAATTCCATTTGATGTGTGTATGATAATATATAACATTATCAGGTTATGTGAAATTTGAGAGATTTTTACAAGGAAGATAAGCACAATGCAGTGTAATTTTCAATGATAGGTTTTTAAAATGAAGCTGAAGTATTTGTCATATAGAGGAAAGAAGTAGTATCAAGTACAAATTATACATTAGTACCACAGAAAAACATGTTTGGTCAGTATAATTTAAGGTATTACTATACTAGACAAAATGGTTCAGAGTATAGTTTTCATATTTTTAACAAATGATTGAGACATTAGGAAATTTCACTGAAGTTATCTTTAGTTAGACCTTAATTGGAGAGAAAGGAGCAGAAATACATAACTGCTTTCTTCATCATTTAAAACTACAATTTAGTAGCTGGTTGATAGTTTCATAGAACTGATTGAAACTGATTTTGAAACTGATTATTTGAAACTGATACCTTAATATTAAACATGTATACATATACTAGGACTGTCAACTGATTGCACTGTACTGTACTTGAAGCTATCTTCCTTTGAACTGATTAAATTGATTAAATTAAAAAACCTTTTGCGTATTACAAAATCAACTTAGATGCCCTTTTACAGCACATGAAGCATAAGAATGTATAATTTAATGAACAATAAAATATATTTTTGATTTTACTCAATACGATGATTAGCTGATCTGCTGATTAAAACCCTTTAAAGCTTAACCCAGTTGATGTCAGACAATGAAGTGTATGTGTTTCAGTGTTGCATGCATAGTCAAATAGTTGAACAGATCTTGATGCATTTGGAAGTGTATGACTTTAAGATTGTAGCAATTTTAACTGGTACAGCTTTTATTTGGGAGTCAGCTGTGTTAAATTTATTTTGAAAAGTTACTCAAATTATGAATGTGCTCCTCCAGAGATAATGATAGGCTCAAATCAGGATATAAAGAATATGGTGTGCATAAAGGAGAGAGTATGTGTGATGCATGCAAGTTGCAGACAGTCAGCTCCTAATTTCACTACAAATCAAGTTTTTGTTTGTGTAAATCATTGCTTAATTCTGCTTGATAATTTGAATCATTCTTTTTTACACTGTTCATTGTTTTATCACATGCTGGTTTTTCTCTGTCTCCATTTCAGTATTGGATTTTCTTTGCAAGTTATATCCTTTAGGAGCTTATGAATGAATATTCGTAAAGTCATGAAAAGGGAGAGGTGGTTTGAGTACCTTGTAACTAAATGTTAATGACTATTGCTGTATATATGGAACATGGAGAGGACCATATTTGTTATTAATAATGTCATAAGTGTGAAGGGACAGTTTGCATAAATACTGGTCTTGATTATTCCTCTTTATAAATTGCTAGGTTGACTTCCCAAATGTGATGTTAAAGTAATGGAAGTGTTTTGTTTTGTGAGTCTGCCACTAAACCTCCCCATGCTTTTTATGCTAAGAGTGGTTCTCTGTTTCATTGTAAATTTACATTGGTTCTATGTTAACTGCCACTTACTTTATAAGTATGGAGTCAACCTCAGAAATAGTTGCTTGTTCTTCCTCCTTAATCCCTCTTCCCTCAAGCCTTTACAGCACTGATACTAAAAATGATTAAGGTTAACCGGGGTTCTAGTTTAACCAAGGTCTGAAACTGCATTTGCAAATGGTTTCAGAGACTCACAAATCAACAAGGCTAGTAGCCATTGATAGCATTTTGTCCATGCAATTCTTTTTTGAAAGGTTTAAGGTTGTTGGCTACCACTGTATCTTGTCAAGGGGAGAACTCCATAGTGCTACTGTGTGTTGTGTGAAGACTTCTTTTTGTCTGTTCTGAATTTTCCAGTGTTAAACTTCCATTGTCCTGAGATTTAATACCATCTTCACACCAATATTTTATCCACCTTTCCAATGTTCTCCCCCTTACTGCTTTTTCTGAACTATAAACCCCACAAATATTACTTATAGGGTAATTTATCTAGCCCATTTCTGAACTTTGCCCTTTCTGAACCTTTTCCAGTTCTACAATAATATTTTTTTCAGGTGAGGCAACCAGAGCAACACAGCATATTCCACATGTGGTTCCACCTTAGATTTATATAAAAGCATTATGTTATTGACAGTTTTATTTCCCATCCCTTTCCTAGAGTTTGCATTTTTCACAACTGTTGCACACTGGGTGAACACTTTTATTAAGCTATACACCTCATTTGTGTATATGTGAAATGAGGATTTAATTGGGTTTTGCCTTAATCTGCATCACTGCACACGTAGCATCTGCCCATTCAGCTACCTTGCAGAAATAATTTTGAAGCTTATTGCAGTCTCTTTTTGTTTTAACCACCTTAAACAATTTAGTGTAATCAACAAACATAACCACCTCACTGCTGACATATAACTCTAGATCATTAATGAATAGAACAGACACACAACATTACATTTGGAGGTCACTGAGCATCATCAGTTCTAGCTGGACTGCTGGTGGAGGGGTTACTCCCTCTTTGGTTTTTAACTTTGTTGTTTTTTTGCATACCTTAGGTTTTGCTGAAATATGCTGATACTTCCTTCTTATTTCTTAACAGCTCTGCTTTGTCTCCAGTCGTGTAGTTTACTATTAGAGGGAATGATAAACTATTCACAATAGTTAATGCAGTTTAGGCAGATCAAACATCTGGTTTCTTGGACAGTTTTTACATGGACAGCAATTTGTTAATTTTGTAGGCTTTACATTTTTTCCTAAGGAAGACCTCATGACATCCTGTGATTATATTGTCAAATTTTATTCCACCCTTTTTGTGGTAGATGGGCCCCCCAGGAATATCTGGAATGGGTTCATTGGAATATCATGGGTTCCGCTTAGGTGGTGAATGCCTCACAAATGGTTCAGGTGTAGGTAATGTGCTGCTGATCCCACCACACTTCTAAGAGTTGTTTCAGAACAGAAAATAATTGAAAGTGGCATGGTTTGAATAAACAGAACTATAGCTCTAGCCATAGTTTTGGTTACTATAACATAGCTAAATCTGTATCCATCAACAGTTGAGTTTAATTAACAATAATTCAGTCCAGTCACCCGAGGGAATAGTTGAAATATCCACCGTTGCAAGGAGAATATTTAAATCTTTAGCTCATAAAATGGTAGGGTCTAGGGATACTTAACACGTTGAATTTAGATTTAGAGGATCCTGATTGCTTCTCTTAAAGTTAAGTATCAAGGCCAGCGAATCAAGAGTTCCCAAATGCATTCTAAAAGATGGAGATAAGGCCATTTCTTCTCTCAGGAATGTACTCACCTTTCTGCCTATAGCAGAAGCAGGTTTTGTTCAGCATAAATATTTTTTTAACCTTGGACTATCAGCAGCTGAAGTATGCATTACAATCAGAGTGCTGGTTTGTTAGGCCCCTTATTACTGGCCTCTAGTTGATACACCTCAAAGCCACCACAAGACCTCAGACCTGATTTGATGCCAGTATTTTGCTGTTTTTTTAATGTAGTACTTGGCTGCTCTGCTTGGTTTTACATTTGCCAGTTCAGGCAGTCAAAACTTTATAGTATAATGTCAGATGTAGTTGTGGCTCATAAATGCAGGTGAAATCAAAGAACTTGCTTCTCAGTTAATGTTGGGAACAGAGGTTGGAGAACTGTAAATTATGTTTTACTTCTGCATTCCTTTTAATAATTGAATTGGCTGTTATAATAGATCCATCTTACATTGAGGATTTAATTTTAACAATCAGGTGGTTCTACAATCTCTTATTTGGCTTCTGGTCAAATGAGATTCACAGAACCTGGTAACATGCTCTGTAAATTGCATCAGCTTAAGTTGCAGAAGTTCACTTGAACTATGTGAGTAGTGAGGGCCTGCAATAAAATAGTGTTGTGCCAACCAGGCTGAGTATCTGTAAGAAGTGGTAGAATTAAAGGAAACTGCTTTAATATTTAAGGAGCATAAGAACATGGTTCCTTCTTATAACAAGCAAGCCGTAGTTCTCTTTCACGCCAGTGTGTTCTGTGACAGTTCTAATATGTTAATTTAAAGCAGAAGTAAAAAGCTTCTCTGATTTTCTTCTTTTTGAACTAAATTTACTTTTGTAATCTGCTAGACATTTTGACCAGATTACTGAATGAGGG